GGGAAAGAGAACGCGCGCGAGCTCGGGCGTCCACGCCCCAGCCTTTCCCGGAGCCATGAACCCCAACTGCGCCCGGTGCGGCAAGATTGTGTACCCCACGGAGAAGGTGAACTGTCTGGATAAGGTGAGCGCGGGACCAGGAAACGTGTAATTTGCAATCCCTGATCAGTGTTCCTAATTGATGGGGAGAGAAGGGTCAGGTGTTTGCCGCCTTATCACAGCGATCCCAGGAGAATGGAGGGAGGGAGGACGGGCGGTGTCATGAGGTATGGGGACAGATCATCTGGAAACCAGGAGATCTCGAATGAAGAGTGGACTCCACGCGTGGCGGGCAGCCACTGTTTGAGAAGGATGGGCTCTGTGTCCAGGGTTCAGGAGTCCGGGAGAGGAGCGGGGAAGCCAGGGTTTGGGGTGTGTGAGTGGGGAAGGTTAGGGGTGCAGTCCCGCCCCCTACGGCCAGGAGAGCTAGAGGAGACGGCCGCTCCCTCTCCCCTCTTCGCCGAGCGCCAAGTAGGCGGAAGCGCGGGGCGCTGGGGGAGGGGGCGGTGGGGGGGCGGGGCAGAGGCTGGGGGGGGGCCCGGGAAACCGTCCTCTCTGGCTGCCGCTGGCCTGGCTTCCTGGCCTGGAGGCTGGGGGGCGGAGGCTGTCTGCCGCCGAATGTGCATTTGGTGAAGGGGGCTTCTTGTAAGGACCGAGCTCCACCTTAAGGCCCCCTCTTTTGAAAGCCCTGCAGCCCCCTTGGTGGTTCGGTGGTTAAAGGACCAGCAGATCTCTTCTGTAGTGTCCCAACCCCCACCTCAAATTAAAAGCCAACTCCCGGTGCTGGGCGGCTGAGCCTGAACCGGGCGGGGTCGGGTGCTGGAGCGGGGTGGGTGGGGGGTGCTTCGTAGAAATCTCCTGAAATTGTGCTCAGAGCCAGGAGACGGGCTTTAGAACAAAGACCTAACTTTTCAAAGCAGGTTTGTCCAATGGAGGGTGGGTTGACTTAGTTCTGGGGAAGCCGAGGAAAAGGAGAGGTTGTGGAAACAGGGTGGCCTTATGGAAATTCACTGATCCCCGGGGGCCCTTGTGCTCCCCCAGCCCAGGCTGGACCCGTTCATCTGGTTGCCATTATATGTTTGGGAGGTGGTGGTGAAGAGTAGGACTGGATGTTTCCCCCGCACAGTTTGGGCAGGATCCTGCGCTCTTGTAAGTGCCCTAAGATCCTAAGGCAAAACCTTGCCCATCTGCAACCTCTCCCCATCTGGAGGGGAGGCCTTTGTGATTTTGCCCCCTTCCTCATTGTGCCTTTCACTCACCGCCCACAGCTGGCTCCATCTCCAGATATTCTCTCCTTTCTGTCTGAGCTGGCAGGGGTAGGGGGGACTGAATGACAGAGTGGTGCAAGGCAGGGGGCATGGGATGGAAGAAGGGGGCCAAGTTCATTGCTCACCTGGAGACAGGTTTTTCTTTTTTTTGGCCGGGGCTGGGTTTGAACCCACCACCTCCAGCCTGTGGGGCCAATGCCCTACCCTTTTGAGCCACAGGCCTCTGGAGACAGGTTTTGTTGGGGGAAAAGATAGTTTATTGGATACTTTGTATCTCCCCACGTCCTTGGGATTGGAGCTTCCTCAGTGACCTTTGGCCTCTGAGTCAGGGTGAGGAAGTGGGGTTTGAGGTTCTGAAACATATTTGAACTTGCTCTTGTGGGGAGGGGGTATAAAGGGCTGCTGCTGTTTCACTGTCGTTCCCAGGCTTGACAGCAAAGGAGAGGAGGGGACATATTGTAGACACAAGGGAAAGTGCTGATCTTCCAGGGGACCATGCCTGCCTCTGAGGGTGGGAGTTGAAGTTGGAGCCACCAGAGATGAAGAAATCCCCCCTGAGAACTAAACTGTCCTTGCACACTGGGGTTTTTGACCTTCCCTGGTAGCAGGGATTTTGGCCTCAGCATCATGAGTTCCTGTGTCTCTCTTCTCCACAGTCATGAATTAGAAAGAGACAGTGGACACTTCACCTGTAGCAATATATGATGAAAGGATTGCTAGCCCGGGAGTTGGGAGACTTGGTCCTAGTTCTGGGTCTATTGTCACCAGCTCTGTGCCTCAGTATTCCCCATCCGGTCAGTTGGGTATGATGATTTCATTTCCTTGGAGGCGAGGCTGGGCACTAAAGTGCCTGCCAAAGTGCCAAGGGGGGCGTGGTATAGGCTGTGCTCTCTTGCCTTTCTGGGAACCTCTGTCCACTCCACATCCATTCCCTTTGTAAAGACCTTGAGTGCTGTGGAGGGGTAGCCGGGGGGCCTGGAGGGTGCTGGGCTAAGACCCAGAACATTCAGTTCCATAAGTGCGGTTGCTAACCAACTCCCCAAGCCTTCCCATTTGCAGGAGGAGAGAGTCAAATTAGGCTCATCCCTTTCACTGCAATCCCCTTGGCCCACAATGTTGCCCAAAAGCACAAGCTGTGTGTCCTTGGTGTTAGCCTTTTCTCCTCCCCTAAGCCTTATCTCCCAAAGGCATAGGTGGGTAAAGGCCTTGTCACCTCTGAAGGCCACCCTGCCCCCAACCTGCAGTACCCAGTGTGCTCTGCATGCTGGATAAATATGTATTGCTGATGACAGTGTTTGAGGAAGGAGGTCGAGATTTTCTTCCCCAGAGGACTTCTGGGATTAGAGCTGGGGGAGAAACAGGGTGACCTCATTCACTCACTCATTCAACAAATATTTATTGAGCACCTACTTTGTGCATGTACTTTGTATCTGGGAACCTGTATCATTAAGAATCTCACTGCCTCCCTCTCCCCTGGCTTGCTTCCCTGGGCTTCTGAAAGCAGGTGGGAGGGTAGTGGATTGGTCTGCTGCCCACTGTCCTGGAATCCCTCACTAGGGCAGGCTTTGCCTCTGTTATCTGAGTGTTCCCTCCTCACTCAAAGGAGGCAACGTCCTTGCAGCTGTGCCCAGTTTTCCTAGGTAAAGCTTAGACTACCCCACAATCCTCTCGTGACCATCCATTCATAATTGCTACTACTTATTGCAGTGTGCCAGGCTCAGTCTTCACAGCTGCTTCACAAAGTGGGTGTGATTGCACCTGTGAATTAGGAACCCCACAAACAGAGTCTCGAATAGATGAAGAGGCTCGTCTCCCTCTCTTAACCAGAGCTGGAATTCACATCTACAGTTCTTTCTGCTCAGCTTTTCTGCCAGTGTGTTTGCAAAAACTGCTTTGATATTTATACTTTCTCATTAGTGCCAAAAGTG